AAAAAAAATAGTATTTAGTGCAATATAAAAAATGCAAATAATTTTTCTGCGGACCACCAAAATTTTATCGCTGATCACCAGTTGGTGACCGCTGATCTGGCAAGGATCTTCTTATGTTCTTAGTTACTTAGATTTTTGAAAATATAGGACACCACTGTGCACTGGACTCCCAATTCCCTCCTTCATAGCACCTATGGGAGTCAAAATCTGAAAATACCCCTTGGGAAAAGGCCAGTTGAATGACAAAGACAGCCTAGCCTTGGCCACAGCCTTAATGCCAATGAAGACACTTTAAGGAAACGAGTCTGTCTTATAGCGTCCCAAAGGTGCTTTTTCAAGAGGCAGCTGGACTTCCTTTGCTTTGGCTTGAAGGTGTTTCACTTCTCTTCCCAGAAGCTTCTTCAACTCTGACTGGATGATGACGGAATCCTTCAATTCCCCACCATCCAGTTCAGAGCTGAAGAAGCTGAGAAGCAAAACGTCTTCAAGCAAAAACAAAGAATGTCTAGTTGCCTCTTGAAAAAGCACCTTTGGACAACTATGAGCTGGATGACTGAGAATCTCCATTAGACACCTGTCCTATAACGGTTTTAGGCCAGAGTAATTCACACGGCATTCTCCTCCCTAAGCGTACACGGACTGCAGTCCTACCGGCCAAATCCAAGCAAGCCTCTGCCCAGCCCAATGTTCTGTTTGTCCTGGGCCGAGCACAGCTTGTACCTATAGCTTGTACCTATAGCTTGTACCTATCTAAGCTTGCACGTACAGTAATGTAACATGGATGGAAATATAATTCTCACGCCCATCCGTTACATTCAAAAGAGATATACCCATTAGAGTGGGGAAGCAGGGAATGCTGCAGGTCCCATCCCCAAGGGAGATGCACCTGGTGGGACCCAGAAGAAGGCCTTCTCCGTGGTGGCTCCCTCTCTCTGAAACATCATCCCCCCCAGAGATTAGACCCGCCCCCACTCTTCTGGAAGGAGCTGAAGACTTGGTTCTGCCAGCGGGCCTGGGGAACCCAGAGTGGGATGGAGCCCATTAAATGGCTCGTGTGATCGGCTGTCGCTGTCTGTGTGTGTGATTTTATGAATTTATTATATTAGTTTTGTTTTTTAATATGTTTTTAAATTATGTAAGCCGCCTTACATAATTAAATGTAACATAAATATTAGATAGCTAGATAGATAGCTAGATACAACAAAAGCGTCGTCTCCCACGTCGAGATCGGCGGCACCCTGCGGAGGTTTAGAAACCCGCCGGCTTAGAAATCGAGCCTTCCATCCCCCGCCCGAGTCCCCAACGGTACCCGGCACCCCCAGACGGAAGGGCCGATTGGCGCAGCACCAGGCGGCGGGGATGACCGGGCTCTTCCCGTCACGGCCTGAAACTTGACGGGGCTGTCAAGCGCGCGCGGGGGGCGAGCTTGGGCGGGAAGGATCTGACCTGCCGCCAGGCGAGCAGGGCCTCCCACAGGTAGACCGCCCAGGAGAAGAGCAGCACGGAGCAGAAAATCCGGTCCTCCACGGGGCTCTCGGCCCACAGATCGCCCAGCAGCGGCATCGCCATGTCCGGCTTCGATCCGCCGCTCTCCCACAGAGCCGCCGGCCAGCACGCTTGGTCCTTCTCAGCCGGCTTCCGGCTGCAGTGACACACAGACTAGCAGAGCAAGACCCGGAAGCAGTTCCTCCCAAAGAACTTCCGAGGCAAGCGCTTGCATTGCGTTCGCGGGACTTCCGTTTCCGGAAAAGCTGATAGTCAGCCAGGTGCGGGGCGGGAAGAAATGAGAGAGAAGAGAGAAGGAGGGTATATATACCTTCCCTCCCCTTTTCTCCTCCCCTCTCTCATTCCTCCCCGCCCCGCGCTGACTCTTATATATATATATATATAAGGGTATGGCTAGCTGATGAGAG